AGAAGATGCTCATGTCTGGCCATAGATATTGCAGAAGATGCTCATGTCTGGCCATAGATATTGCAGAAGATGCTCATGTCTGGCCATAGATATTGGTTGGTCATGTAGCCTTTCTTGGAGACCTGGGCCAAGGGTGAGCGCCAGGTGGAAGTCTGTCTTTTCTAGTCTTGCCTCAGAGGATACAGCATCAGTGCCTCCGGTTTTATCAAGGTTTTAGTAGAGCATATGGGTTCTTTCTTTTGGCCCTGCTGGAGGCTTCCTGCCATCATGTTTAACGTTCCTAAAACCCGCCATACTTTCTGTAAGAAATGTGGCAGGCACCAACCTCACAAAGAAATACAGTACAAGAAGGGCAAGGATTCTCATTACGCCCAGGAAAAGCATTGTTTTGACAGGAAGCAGAGTGGCTATGGCAGTCAGACTAAGCCAATTTTCTGGAAAAAAGCTAAGACTACAAAGAAGATTGTGTGGAGACTTGAATGTGTTGAGCCCAACTGCAGATCTAAGAGAACGCTAGCTATTAAGAGATACAAACATTTTGAACTGGGTGAAAATAAAAAGAAAAAGGGGCTAGTGATCTAGTTTTAAGCTCCAACTTTTGTTATGAAGACAGTATAATCATGATTTCTAAGTTCTAACTTTTGTTATAAAGACAATAAAATCATGAGGTCAAATTTTTTTAAAAGAAGAGAATATGGGAACAAAATTATCACTATATCCTTTCAAGGAGTGGATTCTAGCTACCAAATACTAGCATTGCAAGTTTGCAATTTGGTACTAGAGATGGATTCCTTCTGAAATGCTGAAGGAGATAGAAGAGATCCTATGTGAACCTGCAGGCATCAGAGCTCAGATTCGCTCTCATGAACTTGACTATTAGAGGCAATGATTATGTCCTTCCCATTTCAATCTTAAATTTTCTCCAGTCACAGCCTTCTATTCAAATGCTCAGTGGTACCTAGCATGGTTGTACATATCTGTAATCCCTGTTCTCAGGCAGCCAGGGAAAAAGGAGATTGAATTCAGGGGCATCCTGAACTACATAGACTTCCCTCAAAAAAAAAAAAAAACAGAAATGCTCATTGGTGCTGTGGGTATGTAACACCATTCCCAATCAAACTGTACTATGCTCTACCTATTAAAAGATACAAACCTTTGAAAATTCGGATTGTATAAAGTGTGGGATTTCAATCTTTATGTTAAAGAACTGAGGTCTGTGCTTGGAAGGTAGAAGGAAAGAATTTTTATTCATGATAAGGTAGAGTACTCCACTGACCCAGAAGCAGAGCTACCGCATAAAGCAGTAGATTTTTTAATGTGAAGTAATCAAGTAGTAATCTTGCTCTAGATGCTGTAATAAGTCAATCCTCAGTTCTCTATGCCTTAACACAATGTGGGTTGATTTCTAGTTTCTGGCCAGTGTGAGTATCCCAGATGGTAGGTGGTAACCCTGGAGGTAATGATATGAGGTCCATAATATCTATCCTGCTGCTCTGCCACACTGCCCGACCTCTGCTTCCAGCCAGAGACCTATCACACACACAAGACAGGCCTACATGACACACAACACTTTCTCATCTGCTGATGTGAACTAGTCACCTGTTCTCACTTGGATGCAGGAGAACATGGACAGCTCTCCAGATATAACTTCAGATATAGCTCCAGATATAACTCTACACCTTAGGAGAAACATAGACTTTTAGTGACCCAGCCAGCTGGCTCTGCCACAGTCACATTGTAGACACAACTCCCGCATTGACTATGAAGTTGAGCCAATACTATAAGATTCCTTTAATGTATTATTTCTAGCAATAGCACTTTTAAATGTTTTAAATTGCCAAGATAAAAGGTTGGTAGAGTGTCTTCCTCCATCTCAAGTATTAGTTTTTGTTTGTTTGTTATTTTATTGCTTATCCTGAGTTCTATCCCTGAGCTTCTTTTGCTCAAGGCTAGCACTCTACTACTTGAGCCATAGCTTCCCTTCTGGCTTTTTTGGTAGTTTATTGGAGATAAGAGTCTTGTGGACTTACCTGCCTGGGCTGGCTTCGAATTACTATCCTCAGATCTCAGTCTACTCAATAGCTAAGATTAGTGGCATGAGCCAGTGGTGCCCAGCTCCAGGTGTTATTTTGATAAATGATATTACTAATCTGCCTTGTAGCTTGGAAAGAAGCTCCTAGATATACAATCCTCTAAATTCAATGGCTGTAGGAGACTAAAAACATGGTTCTGTTGAAAATTTGCTAAGCTCAAATGGCAGTAAATGTTATCTCCCATGTTAGTGGTTCAGGAACCATTAGACCCATTATAGTTTCCAACATCCTAACTCTGTGGCCTCTGAAGCAATCTGACTCACTCACAGTGCTATTGCCACATTCCATAGAGGTTTAAACAAAAAAGAATATTATTTACCCAGAAGGATGGCTACCAGGCATCACTGGACAATTAGGGTTTCATTACAATCCAATTTCTGCTGCTGTGCAAAAATGCCCAGTGTCCTTATCTTTAGTGTACCTTCCAGGAGTTTATCTGATTCAAGGCACAGAGACAGGAGTTAGGAAGGTAGCACATCCTCTCAGGCCTCCAAGAACTAAGAGACAAGATTCTGTGAGGCCTATCAGAAGTGGCTCACTAATATTTTTAGTGTCTGCTCTAAACAGCACTTGACACAGAGCCAGAGAAAGGAGGGTTTTAGTTTTAATTTCCCATATTTGGAGTAGCATAATTCAAAATCAAAGGTTTTTTAATAATTGGAAGAACATAGGAAAAAATATAAGAATCATTTAAAGATTGCTATCTCCTGAAAAGAAAATTGATTCAATGTCTTTTTAACTTCACCTAATTGTATCAGGATTAGGGCAATTGAGTCTTAATCTATTGGTACAAGTTAAATATAATTTGCACCCATCTTGATAAAGTCTTATTTTCTCTGTAAAGTATGATAGGTTAATAAGTATTCACATCATGTAAATAGCAAACATATTTTTATTAATCAGCAATGAGTTGCATTTGAAGAAAGCAATTTCTTTTAACACTGCAGTATAATAAATAACTGGTCATTAAAAACCTATTAGTGTTCTTCAGTTTCCTGTGTCTGCATGGCCCTTAAGTAATCACTTGCCTATACTTACCTGAGTTATCTATAATTAAATACAAAACCTATTTTAAAATGTCATTAAGGTCCTGAATTAAGTTCATATTGGCAATGAGATTCAGAACTAGAGCTCCTATTCTATCCGTATCTTTCTTAGATTGTCCTGGGCCCTGTCTTATGAGGACTATAAACCTAAATAGTATACCCTGAAACAAGTTTCAGAACAGTTCTTACCACATTCTGTATAAACAAGTTTCAGAAAGTGTCCCAACTTTTTAAGAGCTTTCCAATATGCACATTTATTCATTCACCCTGTGCTGTTGATATAACTGCCAACAAGACAGGACCCTGTCTGCCTTCTAGACTGGAAGCAGACAATGACATCACAGAGCAAATAACTAATAACATATGGCAAGAACTAGACAGCATGTATGCCCAAAACCACCTGAATTATCAAAGTATATCCCAATATAAAGAGACTGGAATTTCCAATACCATGGCCTTCTCAAGCTTTTCTCTCTCTTTGATCTCTACGAAGTCTGAACTCCATGCCCTCACAGATCTATTCTTGTAGGATTCCTAGTATAGAGAAGAGAAGAAAGTGAGGTGGTTTAAAAATGAATACTAAGAACTTGAAACTTGGGGTATCAGGGAGGTAAGGACAAGAGAGGGGAGTAAACAAGAGAAAGGGTGGGCAAATGCTGTCATAATATTCAATGTACATATGTGAAAATCCAACTGGGAAAGTTGAAAGGATAGGTGGGGTTGGGAGAGATAGGGAGAATGATTATAGGTGACCTTAATCAAGATGCATTGTACTCATAAACTGACATGTTGAATTCAAATCCCTTCCTACAACTACTGAAAGATTATATATCTATAATCTTTTTTTTCTCTCTCTCTCTCTCTATATATATACATAGACACACACACACACATACACACACACACACACACACACACACACACACACACACACACCCTGAGGAACTACATGAAGTGTGGTGCTATTTAAAGAGGTGATTAGAGCCAAAGAAGAACAGACTGTGGGAAGTCAGCTGGTGTCTAAGTCTCTGTTGTGTTACCATAACAGAATACCTGAAGTTGAGTAGTATTCAAAATAAAGAGGCTCATTAAGTCCATAGTTTGGGACACGGTACATTTCTTGAGCCAAGCTCAGTGGCTTGCTTACATGCACAGCTAGTGTTTTCCAGGTCCTCATCTGCAAAGTGAATATTTCCCAGTAGTTCCCTCAAACTGTTGCTACAAAACCAAGATGAGCTGATGGATGGAAAGCACTTGGAGCAGTATGTAGCAAGCAGCAAGCTTCCAGTACCTATTATAACCTGTTTCTTTTTCCAAACTCTTTCCACCCCCACCCCCAAGTGTCTCCTTCCTATTAAGACCCGAGAGTTTGGTGAGATTCTTCTTTTCCATCTGTTCCCCATCCTGTAAGTCCCCTCCCGAATTCCTTTCCTCAGAACAAAGCAATACATTAACTAATTTGCTGGGATAATTTTCTACTTAGTGGCTGGCATTATTCTGGGCTTCTTAGCACATCTTTGAAAGGGAAATTTCTGAAAGCTTGCTTAGCTCGGCTGGCTGGCTGTGAGCTCTACCTCACCCTTACTCCCCAGCCTGGTTCAGCCAGACACATTTGGACAGGTGACTGGCTTTTAGAAAATTGCTCTTGATCTTTAAGATTATTCCTAATGATAAAAGAGTTGGTGGTGGCATCAGATTTTAATGTGTGTGTTGTGTGTGTGTGTGTGTGTGCACGCACGCTTGTGTGTGCCAGTACTGGGGCTTGAATTCAGGACATAGAGGCTGTCCCTAAGTTTCCCCCCACCCCTCAAGGGAAGTGCTCCACTTCTGGCTTTTTGGAGGTTAAAAAGTCTCAAAGATTTTCCCACCCAGGCTGGCTTTGAACTGCAATCATCAGATTTCAGCCTCCTGAATAGCTAGGATTACGGTAATAAGCCACTAGTGTTTGGCTAAGTAGGATGGAAGCAGAAAGTGGGGGGTGAGTAAGGGTTATTCTCTGCTCATGAAATTATCTAAGCAATTTGGAATTGTGTACCATTTGTGACACTCTGAAATTCTTCCCTTATACTTGCATTCTTTCTCTTTTGCTTCTTTTATCTATTGTTTTCTTGGGACTGAGTTCTGGTACAACATTTTCTTGGTTTTTCTTTTTTTACATGAAGAATTCTTTTACAAGCATACACTGTCTCATTCCTAATGATTTCTTTGACTACTTTATACATACCTTAGATTGTTGCTGCTATCTTTAGTCATTAAGCTGGAAATTTCAGGCATATTCCCTGTGGGCTTGGGGGTAGGCATCTGGCTAGAGGCCAGACAAGCAAATTTTAGACACAATACTGGGCTCCTTAGAATCTCGAATATTCTAGAGTGAAAAATTGTTCAAAATTCCACCTCTAAGCATCAAACTGAGAATACTCCCCTCCCCAACCGTGACCTTCAT